ACCTCACTCAGCATAATGTCCTCCAGGGTCACCCATTTTGAATAATATTGCATGAGTTCCTTATTTTTCAGTGCAGCATAGTATTCCATTGTGCGAATATACCACAGCTTTTTAGCATTGTAACTCTTATTCTGGGACATTGTCATACATATAATGCCTAATCATATATTCCTTTAAAAATGCTGCATATGAGAAAGACTTATGATATGATATGATATCATATCATATTAAACTAGAAAAAAGGTGAGAAAGGAAATAAACCAACATGTTAATCTTGATACTTGGGTTTGGCTCTGGACCTTATCAATCTTTGGTCTTTTACCAAGGATTTCCAGAGTTGGAGCTATTATGAGTTAAACTGCACAAAACGTTAATGTTGGTTTTATCTCTGGGGTGATATTTCAAGTGACAGTTAGGATGTTGCTCTTTTATACTCCATGTTTTTCATACTTTATAGATTTTCTTCAATGGTGGTATCTTGCTTTGGTGAAAAAGAAAATGGTTTTTTAAAAAACTCAACTAAACATACAAGTGAAAAATCTACTAAATAAAATTAATCATCTTTGATGATTGAAAAGCAACTCCAGCAGAGGAATAAAGGTGATAGCCAGGTTTGGGGGTAGGAAGAGCTCTGTGAGTCTGTGGGAAAACTAGAGTGACCCTACTTAAAGGTGGCCAGGCTCTGAGGGTGAGCACTGGCAGAGACCCAGCTTATGGGAGTCAGGTGGGAAGGAAGGAATTTGAATTCACTAGGATTTAGCTAAAAGGCATTTTTCTCTTACTCAAACCCTTTGTCAAGGTTTTAGTAAGCAGTCAGTGACTGTGGATTACTCTGGATAGGGAATCTGAACAAATGTAGGGGGCAGGGAAGAAGGTTATCTGGGCATATCTATAAAACTGCCATTAAGTTGGTTGTGACTCACAGCTACCCTAAAGGATAGAGTAAAACTGCCCTTCTGGGTTTTCAAGACTGTAATCCTTACAGAAGCAGATTACCTCATCTCTCTCCTGTGGAGGACCTGTTGGTTGTGAGCCACTGACCTCTCGGAAGCCTACTTCTTAGTTCTCTGCGCCACCAGAGCTTCATGGATATGTGAAAGGAAAGCAAACTAGAATCACAATTGTCTTCTTTTTTCCTATAAAATCACTCGGCAAACACTGGGTAGCTTCATTGAGAATTCACGTTTGCCACTAGGGTGAGTGTGTAGACCCTTGTATCCAGGTAGCTAAGTATCTGCTGTTTAACTTTTGAGTAACAAAGCATAGGAGCTTTGCCCAACAGTCAACATTATGATAGATGGAGAAAGATTGAAGCTGTCAATTATTTCATCTTGCTTGAATCAACAATCAACACTCTTGGTACCAGCAGTCTGGAAATCAGAGCAAGTCCGCTGTATTGCAGTTTGAAGATCAAGGTGTGTCTGATGCAGTTACTGCCCCTAACAACAACAACAACAACAATGGAAATAAATAGGGAGCTCTGGTTTTTGGTGGGAAAGCGTTATGCTGCCAAATCAGAGGCCTGCAGTTTGAATCCACTAGCTGCTTTGTGGGAGAAAGATGGACAATCTCCTCTTGTGCTATTTACTGCCCCCGAAAAGCTGCTGGAGAATCAGCTACAAAACATTTTCTACACAACAGTGCATAGCAACAATGGAAGTATAGCTGAAGGTGTAGCACTAGCCCACTAATATAGTATTGAGAATGAAGTGGGTTATGTGCAAGCATTCCCTTTGCTTTGCTTTGTGCCTCACACATTCAAGACCATACAGGCTGTCCTCATAAGGAGAAAATGGGACAACAAAACTACCACTGACTCATAGCAACCTGTAGGACAGTATCTGACTGATTGCCCCATTCCAAGGCTTTATAGATTTTTGTTTCATTGTTGTTTGAGTGAAAGACAAGTTGATTTTTTCGTTCAATCTTGCATATACCTTGTATTTTATAACATTAATTACAATACCTGCAATGTAATTGCACTTGTCCACTTGCTCCCTGGTAAATATTTATAGAAGCAGATTGCTTCATCTTTGCACTGAAACAGCTGGTGACTTTGATGCTCTGACTTAACAGTTAGCAGTCCAGAGCTTAATCCACTGCACTACTAGGACTCCTGTAATGGGACCCAGGTAGTTTAAAGTGAGGCAACTATTGCAATGTGGTTTTCTTTGGAGAATTTTATAATATAGCCATCTTGCTCATTTGCAGGAAGATGTCGATGCTTCCCCTGTGCAAGACTGTGGATCAGCACCTATTCCCGGGGAGCCCATCTATTAGTTATTCGCTCACTCATGCATTTACACCATTGAGTTACAACAGATATTTGCAGTCCCTTCAGCCAATTTTTGGAGGCTGTGAATCACACGGGAGGAAATTTCTCATCTTTTCCCTCAGAGCCTCTGATGGATTCGAACCATGTGCCTTAGGGTTGACAACTCAACGTCTTACCAGTAGGACACTAGCTGTTAGGAGGGGCTATTCCTTGGAAAGATACATCACGCTTGGGAAGATGGAGCATGGGTGAGAGGAAGACGGGAATGCGAAAGTTAGAAACAATGAAGAAGGAATGGTAGTTGGAAAGTACAGACTTGGTAACAGAAATGAGACTGAAAATAATGATAGAAATGTGTACAGTCAATGATTTATTTATCACAAATACCTTTTTAAAACCCCACAGTACAAATGGTAACTTTAAAAAAACAACACATGAACCTCATCAGATGGACTGCATAGGAATCAGACTGATTATATCTGTGGAAGGAATCAATGGAGAAGCTCAATATCAGCAGTCAAAACCAGGCCAGGTGCTGACTGTGGGACAGACCACCAATTACTCAGGTTCATGTTCAAATCGAAGCTGAAGAAAATGAAAATAAGTCCATGAGAATCAAGAGATAATCTTTAGTCTATCTATGCAGGACCATGAGGAAGTCATAAAGTTTCGATTAAGGAGCCCTGGTGGCCAGTGAGGAGCTGTGATGTAGTCCATAGCCAGTTGCATTACTAATTCAAAGACTGTGCTTCTTCATCTGTTTGGATCTACCAAAAGCTCCTTGGGAGAAAGGCAATCTCCTGTCATGCAATTTACAGCCTTGGAAACTGAATGAAGAGTCAAATAAGAGACCCACCTGATGAAAATGAAGCTTTGCGGTGGTTTGAGCGCGATAGCTGCTGTGTGTGTGGGAAATACGGCAGATTTCTGTAAAGATTTACTTACAGCCTTGGAAATCCCAGGAGGCAGTTTGACTCTGTCCCATGAGAATTAGACTTGGGAGTTTTGCCGAGTTTTTGTCTGTTTAGGGCTGAAACACTAAAATCACTTGGGTAACTTTCAAACAATACTAATACCTCCATCCTCAATTTCAAATAACTGCACTGATTTAATTGGCCTAAGATGAGGCCAGAAGAATAAGAATTTACAAAGCTCCCAGTGTGACTACTTTAAGACAAGATTTTGAACAATGGTAATCAAACCCTGCGTGTTTAAGGACAGCTCTGGGGAGACCATGAAATTTGAGAAAATTGTGAGATATAAAACCAATACCATATTTCCTAAGATTCAGAGTGAAAAATGATGTATATGAACTTTGTAAGTAAGCCAGTATAAAATAAAAATTTTGTTTAAATAATAAAAAGAATACCTTGTTTCCTGCATACATATCAATTGGTAACATAAAAGAATAAATCACCAGAGAAGGATTTATCTCCTCCTGCAAACATTATGGACTAGAAGTCTGAGATCACTTTGAATGGAAGTTTGTTAGATGGCAAGTACTAACAATAACAACGTAGGGGAAAATTAATCTCAAAGGGAAAGGCTACAATTTTGAAGCTTAAAAATTAGGATTTACATTTCCTGGGGCATTTTGAATGAATGGGTAATTTTTTCTATCAGTATGTAGTGATCAGAAGATATGAAGACCGGCTTGTACTTTTCTAGGTAAATCATCTGGAACAGGAGTAACCTAGTAAATTCTTTCAATTCCTTTATTTCTTTCAGGAGAAATAAGAACTTACCGCTGGAATATCCCTAAAAGGTCTGGCCCAGGGCCCTCTGACCCAAATTGCATTCCGTGGGTTTACTATTCAACAGTGAACTTTGTTAAGGTAAGGTGAAAAGAAAAAAAAAATATTTAAAGTTATACAGCGTTGACTATTTAACATGTGTGGATAGATAAGACGAGGTATAGTCATTTAAAACTCTGGTCTCAAGCATATCCACTAATTAAGCCCAGTCATGCCCACTGATCTACGTTGTCTATGGGAGTGGCCCATCAGGAGGAAGTTGTGCTGCTAAACCAAAGGCAGGTAGTTTGAATCCATCAGGGAGCAACTCCACAGGAGAAAGACAGGCCGTCTCCTCGGCTCTGAGTTGGCTTTGACTCAGTGGCAATCAGTGAATGAGTGAGGGATGGACGAGATGATGAGGAGTTCCAGTGGTCTAATTCACTGGCGCTGCACTGCTAACCCAAAGGCTGCACATTTCTAACAGTTCAAATCCACCAGCTTAGAAAGGCAGGCAATCTTTTATTGTTATGATTCGTTGTTTTTATGTACCACTGAGTTGGAAGCAACTCATAGCTGACCATCCAGCAGATTTTCAAAGTCAGTAAATCAAAAGAAAGAGATTGCCCTTCTCTCTCCCTCAGAGCTGGTAGATATAAACAGCATGCCTTTGGTTTGGCAATACAGCTTCTCACCACTAAGCCACCAGAGCCCCCTTGTTAGGATTCCGAGCCTCAGAAACCTCATGGAGGGTCACTATGGTAACTGACTAGAAGGTGGTGAGACCTTGTTTTATTTTGTTGGTGGTTGAATTAAAGGAGTCCTGGTAGGATAGTATATTAAGTATTGGGCTGCCAGCTGAAAGGCGAAAGGTTAAAATCTACCAGCCACCCCAATGGAAAATGTTGACACACCCCAGAAGAGGTGAGCAGTTCAAATCCACCAGATGCTCTGCTGGAGAAGGAAGGACAATCGCTTCCTTGTACCAGTCAGATCCAATTTGATGGTACACACAAAAATAAAATTATAAAAATTAAAAGAAAAAAGAAAATGTTGACACAGTCTTTCCCCACTAAGATTTACAGCCTCAGAAACCTGAAGGAGGGGAGACGAGAGTCAGAATTGAGTTGACAGCAGTGTGTATTTTTTTGGTTTAGGGTTGAGTTGAGTTGAGTAGTTGACAAGGTTAAAACCATTTTTTATCTGAACCTTTACAGGATAAGCTTGCTGACCTTTCATTTAAAAACAAAACAAAAACCAAAACCAAACAAATAACTTATTTTATTGAGTCAAAAGCAGCTCATAGCTGACGCTCTATTGGCTTTCCTAGGAGTTCTGATGGTCTAGTGGTAAGAAACTGCGCTGCATTCCCAAAGGCCAGTGGTTTGAATCCAACAGTGGCCCGGCTGGAGAAGAATGGGCAGTCTCCTGTGCAACTTACTACCTCTAAAAACCCACCGGAGGGTCAGCTAAGAGTCTGCTCCAACTTGAAGGCAAATGACAAGAGGCTGTAAATCATATGGGAGGAAATTGTCCATCCTTCTCCTTCGGAGCTGCCAGAGAGATCTGACCTTTAGGGCAGCAACATAATTCCCAGCAGAAAAGAAAATGAAAAACCAGACAGTACTCTAAGCCTCAAGATTTCAACTACCCAATTTAGAACTTACAAAGTCATCTGAAGCTAAAGAAGATATGTAAATAGATAAAAAAATTAAAAATTTCTATGACATTTATTCCATGGCTTTGAATGTATCTGAAACCTATTTATCTTAAAGATGTCATCTCTACTACCAGTGCTGGGGGTGGGAAAGCACACTACAGCTCGAGTTATTGATGCTACAAGCTGTTTGACCAATAAATCAGCTAACTTTATAGTAATAAAAGGCAAAGATTCGGTACTGAACTGAGGCAGACATATGTTCAGAAATCCTATGTGCCATTTCCCTGTCCTGTAGGGTGCCTTTGTGTCAGATAGACTTGTCGGCAGCGGGTTTGGCAATTTTTTTTTATATTTATATAAATCAACTTCAGCCTTTAATTATACATCGTAAACCAAAGTTCAAAATAAAGTCTTACCTGATACTAAATGTAAACACTATCCATATAAAAGAGTCAAAGATAATCTTAATGTTTTTTAAATATAAAAAATAGCTTATATTAATGTTCTTGATTTGTATTAGAACAACAACAGTGCTAGAATTTGGGAATTAGATCTACAAGATACTTGAAGGAACATCCATCAGTTATTAGATTGATTTTAAAGCCGTATTCTATTTTATTTCTTCATTCACGCATCCCAACAATTATTTATTGTGTGCTTGTCAAGTAAAAATGACACTATGAAGTACTGAGAGTCCTGCAAATATTCTTATCTCAAAGAACTCTCTAACTCTGAGGGAGGAAATAATACATGTCCCAAACCCTAACCAGAACTCCTAATCTTCTTAAATACCTTGGACATGACAGGCAATCCAAGATGCTACAGAAAACAGTTTAGGAAGAGAGAGCATTATAAGTAGATTAGTTGTTGTGTACCATCAATTAGGAATCTACCCATAACTGACCCTCTGATGGGTTTTCTGAGGTAGTTAATCACACAGGAAGAGATTATCTTTCTTCTGGAGAGCAGCTGGTGGACTCAAGCTGTGTTCCTTTTGGATTGCAGCACAGCTTCTTGCCACTTGGCCACCAGAAGATAGGAAAATTTAAGTTGTGTTTGAAAATGTTGAGAGTTCATTTTGCTGGTATATAGGATACAAAACAGTAACACTGGGGACATTTAACCTAGAGAAGTTCACTAAGGCAAACACGTAGGGCTTAAAACTCACCAATTTATTGCCTTTATTTGGGATCTGGGTCATGGCTGACCCTCCAGTGGGTATCCTGTACATTGCTTGGGAGAAGATTGCCATCTTTGTCCCTTGGAGCCACTGGTGGATTTGAACCACCAGCGAGGCTCAGCCTTTGGGTTAACAGTGCAACTTCCTATAGGCTAGGCCACCAGAGCTTCCTCCAGGAATTTAATGAACCCATCAAATGTTTGTATTCTGTTCTGTAGGCAATGAAAATCAATGAAGATATACATGGGATGAGCCTAATCTGATGGCAGTCAGTGATTGGGTTGGAGGTGGGGTTAGAGCAGGGTGTCTAGAATAGTAGCAGATGGAATGGAAATGAAGCTACAGAATGAAAAGGAATTATGAAGAGAGGGAGAGAGTAGAAGGACAATTTGAAAGAAAGCTGGATTGGTAGAGGTGGAAAGAAGGAAGGATTAAACAATCAAATTATGTTCTCTGACCTAAATGACAGGGAATGAAAAGAAACCAAGAATTCAGGAAGAGGAAATGCCTTGAAGGAAATAATAAATTCATTGTAGGCATCCTTGATAGATTGCATTGCTACAGGAGGCATATCCAGGTGGATTATGTAAACAGGCTGTTGGCAATATGGATGGTTTTTTCCTCAAAAGAGAACTTCAGGCAGAACAACTTGACTTGGAGATCTTCCACGGTCCCATGTCACTCACTAATCATCATTCCCCAAGGGAAATAGAGTATGTTGTTAAGTGGTATCAAATCAACCTTGACTGACAGTGACCTTATAAACAACAGACCTGAACTTGCCCTGTCTTGAACTATCATTCCCATAGCTATCTCTGATATGTTCAAGCCCTCTGTTCCAGCTTTTGTGTGAGTCATCTTGCTGAGGGTCATCTGTTTCTCTTATCTTCCACCTTTACAACAATAACAATCATCTTCTCCAGCATGATGTATTTTCCGAAGGACTGGTCCCTCCTAACAACATGTCCAAAGTATGTGAGATGAAGTTCTGCCATCCTTTAAGGAACACCGTGGAGCACACTTGCTCCAAGACAGACCTATTTGTTCTTTTGGCAGCCCATGGGATAGTCATTAGTCTTCTCCAACACCACAATCCGAAGGCATTGATTCTTCTTCTGTCATACTTATTCACTGTCCAACTGGAAACAACTGAAAATACCACAGCTTGGGTCCAGTGTACCTTGTTTTATAAACTGACATCCTTGCTCTTTAGCACTTTGGAGAGGTCCTTGACAGTAGATTTTCTCAATGTCTTTTTATTTCTTAGCTACTGGTACCAAGTGCATTGATAATGATTCCAAGTAAAGCTATGTTATTGTTGTTGTTGTTGTTATGTGCTGTCGAGTCACTTGCAACTCATAGCGACCCTATGCACAACAGCCCTAAACTCTGCTCTGTCTTGTGCCAATCGCACTGTCTCTGACACTCCCATCCCGATAACCCCAGTCACCGAATATAAAGCTATAAATGGATGAGCTTTAATTTATCTAAAACATATTCATTTGGAAGCAGGATTGGCATCTACTTCCTAAACAACATGCCTTTGGAAACTATGAACTTTAGAGAGATATTGATAGTTATATAACAGAGTTCAGATCTTCTGTTCATGGAGTCACTATAAGTCATACTCGACATAACTTAAAAACAACAACAAACATATTTATTGAGTTCTGTCAGAGTGTTTGATATGGGACAAGTCTCTGGAGACTTGCTAATAAAAGAAGGGCGTAGTCTCAGTCATCAAGAATCAGCCACCCTACAGGAAAGTTTTCCTAAATTTTTACAAGATCATCCTAATTTTTGAGGGTTTGTTTTTTTATATCATATGAACAGCCAACAGTCTTTTTACTATGACCATCTTAACATTGCTTGACCTATATTATGAAAGTACAGAATCTTTTAATTTTTTTTTCAGGATACATATAGTGGTTTGATGGGCCCTCTAATTACATGCCGAGAAGGAGTGCTGAATGAAAAGGGAAGGAGGACGGATGTTGATTATGAATTTGCACTCTTGTTTTTGGTATTTAATGAGAATGAATCCTGGTATCTAGAGGACAATATTAGGAAATACCTCAATAAAGACCCACGGGATTTTAAGCACACTGATGATTTTGAAGAAAGCAACAGAATGCATGGTATGTAAGAAGATGATTGATGGAGTAAGCTCATAAAAAATTGCTCTAATTTTAACAGGTCCCGAGTTTCCTTCTGTGAAGATTTCTCCATAACTGGAGCCACCTGGATTGAACGAAGTTCTTTAAAGTTCTTCAGCATGAGATAGTGTAGCCAGTGGTTGGCCAGAAGCAAAATCATTGAGGTTTCTGATTCAACTCTTTAGGGACATCTGCCCCGAATGAGCCCTGGTGGTATAATGGGTTGCTGATGTTCTGTACCTTCAAGTCAGAACTGTCCCATAGCTGACCCGGCAAGGTTTCAGAGGCAGTTAATCACATGGAAGGAGATTGCCCATTTCCCCCCCCTGTAGAATAGCTGGTGGCTTTGAACTGCATTCCTTTGGGTTGGTAGAGCAAGCCCTTACTCCTAAGCTACCAGAACTCCCTGGTACAATGGGCAAAGCTAACTTAATAAAAACTGTTAAAGTTTTAATTAAAATTTTAATTAAATTTAATTAAGGATGGTGGAAGATCTCCAAGTCAAGTTTAAGTTTAATTAAAAACTTAATAAAAACTGTTAACAGTTGTCTATTGGAATCTTCTAGTGGCTCTAAGGAAGAAAACACTTTGCTAATAATCTGCTTCCACAAAGATTACAGTTTAGGAAATGCTCTGGCGCAGTTTCTACCCTGTCCTATATCATGACTATACGTCAGAGTTTACACAATGGCACACGTGGCAATTCCTGAACGCTTACATTCTCAAACTATAAGATTGTGAAGTAACTTTAAAAAAATGAATCCTCACTTGTTGCATTTCTGTAAGAACAGACTGTAACTTCTTTTTGGTCAAATTTAAGAGCCCGGTTTAGCTGTCTCCAAGATGTAAAATAACATCACTAGATTTCTGTTTTAATAAGAATATTTTATTTAATTCTGTATAACTTTTCTTTGCCTTAGTGGAAGTAATATGTTCAAACAGGTATACCTACAAGCTCACCTAGACCTCTTTTTTGAGCAAGTGTCCATAAGGCAGGCCTTTCCCCAGGACACAAAGCTAGTGTTTAGGTAATTGAATTCAGCTATTCTGTCCTCTACCAATTTTGTTTCTTTCTTCCAAAAGTTTAGCATGCGCAATTTTTATTAAAATTGACCTTGAGGTGATGAATAGCTGGGTGGGTTCCATGACCGCACAAAGAAGACCAAGAGTTGCTACTGTGTAAACAGAGCCTGGGTTTGACTATTGTTAGGATAATGGACTCAATCCAGTGAATTTTTCCTTTTGGAGGGATTCAGTCAGACTTAATAACTTGCTCCAAAAGGGTGGTGTTCTCTCAAGTTGATTCAGTCACAGCAGCTGCACAGAGTAGAGCTTCCCAGGCTGTATTCTCTGTGGGAGCAGGTTGCCAAGTCTTTTCCCCCATAGAGCTGTTGATGGGTGGAGCTTTCAGTTAGCGCCCAGTACTGAACCCTTGTACCACTAGCATTCCTTTTGTCCCAAACTGTACTCTGAAAGTGATTTAGTACAGAAGTAGCTACTAATTCATTCAATTGTGATTCCTAGAAACTTGAATTCTATGTGTATGCCTTTATCTACGCATCTATAGAATGGTAAAAATCTGGCTAACTCACAAAAAAGTTTTCAATCCATTTCCTAAAGAGAATATCCTCAAGAAGCAAACAAACATGGTTACTCAATATATACTTTTTAAAAAAAGAAATTGCCATTCATTTCTTCGGGCTTTATAGGATGCCAGAAAAGAATAAGGATTTCTTAGAATAGTACTTTGAATTTGGGAACTGTGAGACTGTCACGTGTCTGTGGGGCTGATGAACATTTCCGTAACCTAAAGATATTCTTGAATTATTTCTAAAACAAGATGTGTGTCTACTCATAAATCATAGGTTTGTTTTGTTGTTTTTTTTTAACTCTTCCTAGCAATTAATGGGAAGATTTTTGGGAATCTCCATGGACTCATAATGAATGAAGATACAATGACAAACTGGTATTTGTTAGGAATTGGAAGTGAAGTGGACATTCATACTGTTCATTATCATGCGGAGAGCTTTCTTTTCAAAGTAAGTATGAGAAAAATGTTTGGAGGGGATGGTATAGTATTTCGAACCCATCAACTCAGTGCCATTCCATCATGAAATAGGAAGGTTACTCGGCCATAAGGCTTGTGAGGGGGAGTGGTTCATATTAGAGAATGTACTGTTGTTGTTATTAGGTCCTGCTGAATCAATTATGACTCATAATAACACTGAGCAACAAGCCAAACCCTCGTCCTTTGTTGCACCATCGTCAGGATTTCCATCATGCTCAAACCCACTGGTACAGTCACTGGGTCAGTCTATCTTGTTGAGGGTCCTCCTCTCTTTCTCTGACTCTTCATTTCCCCCAGCATGATAGCTTTTCCTAAGGACTGACCCCTGCTGACAATGTGCTCAAAACATGTAAGACAAAGTTTCACCCCCCCTTACCTCTCAGGAGCATTCGCGCTGCACTTCCTCCAAGGCAGATTTGTTTGCTCTTTTGGCAGCCATGGTATATGCAGCACCCTTCACCAACACCACAATTCAGAGGCCTTGATTCCTCTTTGCTTATAGTATTCCATTCCTTACTGTGAATAAGGAAGGGAATGGAATGGAATGATAAAAGATTTCCATGGTCGATATTTCTTGTTTATGTCTTTTCTTGTGGTTGTAGAAACCTTGATCTTTACATGAGAGAATATGCATCAATGTGAGAAGGATTCTGACTGTTGTGGATTATGCTGTTGATATTATTTATGCATGAAAACACTTACAGAATTAGGGGCATTTGTTTTTCTACTTTGTTTATTATTGTGAAAATACAGTTATTTGCCATTTCATCATTTTCCATGTGTTCAAATCCATGAGGAAGATCCTCAACCAGGTGGATTGACTCAGTGACTGCCACAATGGGTTCTTGTGTGTCAGGAAGTGTGAAGATGGCACAGGACAGAACAGGGTTCAGTTCTTTTGTCCAAAGGGTCACTATGAGTTGTACTCAACTCAACAGTACCTAATAACAATACCGTGATGACTATACCATCAGTCATGTTGTCCAACCATTGCCAGGTTCTGCTGTCAGATTTTCTATCTCCATCAACAGAAACCAGTGTTTGGTTCCATTTCTTGACCCTTGCTATCCCCCTAACCCCCAACTCTTTTTCCTTTCTGTTTCTTCTCTTTTCTGTGTGATTAGCCAACACAATGGCCTTGCCCCACAAAAAGATTATTTCTAGCTCTGGCCTGGGCCCCCAAACTCTATTGTGGCCTTCGCCCTAGTGAAATAGGCTGGACCCTGTGTGACCTTCTGCCTGTCCAGCTTCAAGATGAGCCAGGTGGGTGGTGCCTGTAATAGAGCAGAATCACCAGGGGAGTTATCTGGAATCCAGATTGCCAGACCCTACCTTGGACCTGCTTGGTCAGAATCTCCAGGGCAAAGTTTAGATCAGCTATCTCCTCAAGTTCCCAGCACCATCTACAAGGAAGTAGAACAGAATAACCATCCTTAGTCGGGGAGAGCTCTGGTGGCCTAGCCTGTAGGGAGCTGGGCTGCTCACCCAGATACTGATAACCTGTGGTGGTTTGAACCCTCAGCTCCTCGGGGGACAACAGAACGTCTCCTCTCCTGTGATTTACAGCCTCCAGAAAATCCACTGGGGCATCAGCTAGGAGTTAGTTCTAACTTAACAGCAAAAACTGAGGGAGTGAGTATGTGGGGGAAGCCTGCATCCATCTCTTTCTAACTACTGAAGAAATAAACAGCAACTTTCACATACCCTCCTGTAGCCTCTTCCCTCTGTACTTATTCTACTTCAGAAATCTGTGACGGTTACAGTTTCATGTTGCAAATGGCTACCATGTATTTCCAGAATTTTACTTTTTTCAAAGCACATTTAAAAAAGTATATTGAAAATCTAAACCCATAATAAACTATAAAGCTGAGCATTTATTCTCTCCCTGTTTCTTTCAATCAGACGTCAGACAGTCATGTAGCTGGGTGGTTCTGAGGTAACTTCTCTCAATGGTTGGTCATATCTTGCACTATTAACTAAAAGATTGGTGGATTAAGCCCACCAGCCACTCCCCTGACTGTCTCCTTCCATCAATATTTACAGCCTCAGGAACCCCTTGTTGGGTTGCCAGGAATGGGTATCACCTTGGCCCCAGCAGACTCCGCTTTGTTTGGGAAGCTCAACAAAGAAAAATCCCAAGCTGTGCATTTATTTATTTGTTTATTTATTTTTTTTATGCAGACAGATAAATCTTACCGAGAGGATGTGTATGATCTCTTTCCCGGGACATTCCAAACCATCGAACTGTTTGCAGATCACCCTGGGACGTGGCTGATACACTGTCATGTGTCTGACCATATCCATGCTGGCATGGAGACAACCTACACAGTGCTCCGGAACATAGGTACTGTTATCTGTCAGTGACACTGTAGACCTGAATCAAGAGGCATGAGAGAACGTGCATGCAGCCCCCAAACAGTCAAGGAAGAGGCAGATGGGTCAATACATAACCACAATAGAGTGGTCTGTGCCATTATAGAGGACAGGGTACACGGTCCAGTGGCAGTGGAAACATTTTGGCTAAAATTTTGGGGACATGTTGCAAGATTTCATGCAAGATGAGCACCCTGATCTTACTGGGTGAGCAGAAGGATGAAAAGTGGAAAGGATAGGAACAGCATATGTGCTGTTATGAAATAACATAGGCTCTGGGAAAGACTTGCAGATAATGGTGTGAGAAAATCCACAATGGTGAGATGAGTCACTCTTAAAACCACTCCTGCCATGAAAATAACATCCTCTGTTGTTGAGTAAACCACCCACTTGTCTTCTGTGTCCAGACAACAGGATTCCTTATTCTCCCAAGGACCCTTCTGAAGAGGCACCTCCTTCTGCCACTGTGCCCTCCGATGGTAAGGACCCCTTCTAGTGCATGCTGATGTGAACACCCACACACTTCAGCTCTCAGGGAAAGCTGAGGGTCTGAGACCTTGCTCTGCTTCTAAAAATTTCAGAAGAAAATTTTAAAGATTTACTGTGGTAAATACATGGAACAGATCATTTGCTATTTTAACCACTTCTAAATGTTGTGATGTGCCAAGTTGCTTGAGACTCATAGTGACCTTATGTACAACAGCTCTGAACCCTGTTTTAGCCTGAGTCAACCTTATTGTCACTGGCACACCTACCCCCATTACCTCAGTCACTGAGTTAATCCATCTCATAGAGGGTCTTCCTCTCTTGCACTGTCCCTCCACCCACCCAAACATGATATCCCTCTCCAAGGACTAGTCACTCCTTGCAACATGGGGAACCATTCACTATCCATTTCCAACATCCTCACCCCAAACTCACTTTTCTTTTTCACAGAAAAGGAGCATCTCTATTTCTTTGGCCAGAACCTGGGTCCCCGAGGAGCCAAGGCGGCCTTGGTCATCCTCTTTATCACCGGCCTGGCTCTCATGGCAGCCACAGCGGTTCTCTCGGTGAGACTCCACTCCGTGAGGAGGCAGATGACATACCAGGCAGTGCAGTCCTGTGCTCTCCCCACGGACACTCTGTGACAGGAAGGAGGGGGTCCCACAGGCAGACGACCAACAGCAGCCAACAGAAAAATGGGACCCTGGCAACATTCACCATGCTGGATCTGGGACCAGGAGTCTGATTCTCTGTAACACACTCCAAAGCAATTTGCTTTTATTTATTTATTCAGAAAATGGGCTGTGAATAATCCTCAGGTATAAAACACATAAAATGATTGGCATGACTGAGATGTGCCAACTCAGTCTGTTCTCTGAGTTCTCTGAAGTGGGACAGAGGGAAACCCTCTGGAAGATATCTTTTTAGTTTTTATAATTCTTAGATTAGACATTATTTTGTTTGCCAACCATCAAAGTTTCCATGTAGACACCTCTAGAAAGAAATATGGTGCTTCAACCACCTAATTGGAACAGCCTGAGTGCTTTTTTGACACCGTTACATAAGCTGCTTTCCAGTTTTTCCTGGAAAGGGAGCAGAGGAGTCCATGGAAATGCCCACATCAGTATCTGCTAATAGAATCTGAATGACTGAATTTTTTGAGGCTTTACTCAGTTCTCCCAGCCTCTCCCCCTTTTCTATCAATAGCCTGTGCCATAGGTTATTATTTTTTTAATTAAGAATTTGAAAAAGTTGCTGCTGTTTTTATGTAAACCTGTACTTGAATGTTTACAATTTGCTTCATGCTATATGTTTTTACAATATGTTTCCATAGCAATGTCTGGATTTTTCAAAGACTGACAAGAGAATTTGTATTTCTGATTCAGAATCTGGGAGTGTCAGAATCTGTGAACTAACAGGCTTGGTTCTCCCATGGGGAGCAAGGGACTTCTCTGACATGTTAGTGGAGCTTTTGGGGAGAGGGGAGCTTGCATGAGGAAAGTCTGGCCTGGGGCTTGACTTTGGTTTTCCTTCAATTAGGTGAATCCTTCCAAGTGCCCATCTCCCGTGAAGTAAAAAGTCCGACTGTAAGAGAGGTGCTGGGAGGAATTCCTCAGTGAAGCTAACTCAGAGGAAAGGGATTTCACAAAATTCTAGCTAGTTCATGAAAACCGTGGCCCTTTATTGGGGAAATAAAAGGAAAGACGCAGGGACGAGAGATGGCTTAAAAAGAGATGCATTTTTTTCCATGTCCAGACACTTTATTTCATGGTGTCCTGTGTGGGGGTGGGAAGACCAGGGCGGACCGACCCTCAGAGGACTTCTGGGAGAAGCCAGGCAGCCTTCCTGGTGCCCTGGGCTCTGAAGACGTTCGGGGCCTTGACTGGCGTGGACTGTGGCAGCCTGCTGGCCTCCTGTGGCCAGTCCTGCCATCCCGGTGGGCTCCCCTAAAAAGAGATGCATTTTTGAATCATGGAATCAGCTTTGAAGAGAAATACTTTTTTTTCAAAGCTCAAGTGAAAAAATAAGACCGTAAAAAAAAAAAAAAAAAGGAAACTCAGTCCAGTACTAGGTAAGCCAGCTCTGTGAAGCAGGCCTAAGTTTAGGTGTAAGATTGATAAAACCATCATTGTTCATTACTAGTCTGAGAAATTGTCTTTAACTCCGGGCAAGAAACTGCCCTGGCAGATGGGTGATGTGGATATGTGTTTTTGCAGAGGGCCATTTCAATGTCCCGCTGAATGAGGAGGACCTAATAAAATACTCTGGTGGAGGGATCTTTCCTACTTTATCTTCATCTTAGTGAGGGGAACAGGGTAATTTGATAGAAGCTGTTGTTTTACACAAAATAGCATACAAATGCTGTTAGTCTTATCCATAATTTATTTAAATGTCATATCAAACAGGAACACCAGCCTGCTTAACCACTGGTAATGTGATTTTGTAGTATGCATTAGATAGTTTTTGTACATGTGTGGGCTGTATAATTAGGGCATATCAGTTACACTGTATGCCTTATAACTGCTGAGTTAATTCTGACTAGCAGTGAAGCTCTAGCAGCGAGCAGAGCTGCCCAACAGGGTTTCCAAGGTATGACTTTTATGGAAGTAGACTGTGGCATCTTTCTTATGCTGCAAAGCTCAAACTGCTGACCTTCGGTTAGCCAGTGAGTGTTCAACCACTGTACACGAGGGTTCTTCCTTATTTATAACTCACCTTTAGTAAGAGTACAAATTGTTCAGTTGATTTTCCCCCCTGATCATTTAATTTTTTTAAAAAGAAAACAAAACAACAAAGTAGTTTGTACCATTTCTCTATTTAATAAAGTTCCGCATATTATAAGATGGCTATTTTCCTTATTTGTACAATGTTGAATATTATTATTATTTTACATGGTCATGATTTATTTCACACCACATTTGTTGTTGCTAATTGCTAGTTGAATTGGCCCTTTATGGTTCACTACCCCATGCACAACAAAATGTGGCCCAGGCTGCCCCATCAGTGCAATTGTTGGTAAGCTTGAATCCACGGCTACATCACTAAACATTTTGAGTATTTTCCAACTTAGTGGGTCTTATTCTAGCACTATATTAGAGGTGATTCTATTCTGATTTGTACATGTAGTTTTCGTTAATTACTGAAGAACATTGTTACTGGTGCCACTGAGTTGGAATTAACTAATAGCTGACCCTCCAACTGTCTCTCAGAGGCTGTAAATCACATGGGAGGAGACTGCCCATATTTGTCCTGTGAAGCAGCTGGCGGATTCAAACCAAGTGCCTTTGGGTTGACAACGTAACTCCTTAGCACTGGTCGACCGAAGCTCCGGCGCTATAGGTTACAGAGTAATAGTAATAGAAACAGCTTAGAGATGCTGGGTTTGGTAAAAAGAAATACCTTTTAAATATTTAGCAAGTATACAAGCTATTTTTATTAGAGCAAATAATAACAAATATTGATAACTAACAAAAACTATATTCTCACAAATACCAACTGCCATTGAGCAGATACACCATTTGGTTCCTCAAGGCTATAAATATTTACAGGATATTACTCATCTTTCTCCCATAGCGCAGCAAATGGATTTGAACTGCTGACCTTTTAGTTAATAGCCCAACATGTAATAAAGCACTTGAGCACCAGGACTCCTTTCCGTTTCCTCAAGCACAACACTTTTGAAAAAAATCAAATCTACGTGTCTTTACACACATCTTTTCCTCTTGTTATAATGGAAGAACTGTGGCAGCTTCTGGCAGGGCCAATCTCCGCATGTGGCTCTGGACTTCACCCCTTCTTGCTTTCTAAAGGATGACATTCCCTCAGCTAATCAGTTTTCCTTCCCATTTCATTCTCTGGAATCATCAGCAAATCTGTGTGCTTTAAAATCACCAAGAAAACAGAAATCCTTCCCTTAACTCCATAACCACCCCCTCCCCACCAGCTGAATTTACTTCTTCCACATTGGAGAAGGATATCATGTTGGGAAGAGTGGAGGGACAGCACAGGAGAGGAAGATCCCAGATGAGATAGATTGACACAGTAACTGGAGTAATGGGGGTAGGTGTGTCAGAGAGATTGGCTCAGGATAGGGCAAGGTTCAGAGCTATTGTGCAGAGGGGTTGCTATGAGTCGCTGGAAACTTCACAGCACATAACAACCATCCCCATTTGCTGCTCGTACAACCTCACCACACTGAATACATTTCTCAAGCCATTCCAGTAATTTCCAGTTCTGATGACTTTCAGGGCTTTCAGGGTCCAATCAGCTATTTCCATTGGCTTCTTTTTCCACCTTGATCTTTCTCAATTTCTTACCAGCAGTTGTGACTTTCTTCCTTCTGGATACCACATAGTAGCTTCTCCAAGACCTGCCAGCCTGCCTTCTTAAATTGCCATTCCTCCTCAATCTTTGCTAGTGCCTTCTCTCATGACTATTAAATATTGGCAATTGTAGTGTACTCTGACTAATGACACTTGTGTCTCTACCCAAGAATCTGTGACTATAACCTTGTATGTTGTTATGTGTTGTCAAGTTGCCTGTGACTCAAAGCGACCCCTATGCACAGCGGCTCTGAATCCTGCCCTGTCTTTAGCCAGTCTCACTGACTGCAACACACCTACCCCCATTATCCCAGTGACTCTATTAATCATCTCATCTGAGGTCTTCTTCTCCTGTGCTGTCCCTTCACCCTTCCCAGCACTCTGCAGATGTGATTATGTTAAGGATTTTAAGATAGGGAAATTATCCAGGATTGTCACTTTGGACACCAAATAGAATGATCACAAGTGTCCTTATAAGAAGGAAGCAGAGGGAGACTTGACAATAGAATGGAAAGAGAACAGGATGACTGAAGCAAGATGCTACGCTGCTGGAGATGACCAAAAAGGCAAGGACATGGATTCTTCACTCAGACTTCTGGAGAGCTTATGTCCCTGTAGACATCTTGATTTTGACCCATTAAATCTGATTCAGACTTCCAATCTTTAGAAATCTTAAGAGAATAAGTGTGTGTCACCAATTTGTAGTTACCTGTTACAGGTCTGACTGGCAGTTACTTCACCAAACTTGACAGACCTGAAACACATTATAAATTCCAAATGTTGTTTCTCCAACCCTAAACTTAAGTTTCAACTAATAAATCTTGTCAACAAGGCTCACTCTTGTTCCCTCCAACTGCTGCCTGCTCAGCAGATTGATGCTTCTATAAACAGGCAGATCTGACCACAACTTACCCCTGATTAACATCCTTTCATGTCTTTCCATTTCAATCTGACTAAAATCCAAACTCTTTATTTTGGTCTCTAAAAGCCTGGCCTGATTTGGCCCATGTCCACTTCTCCAACTGCATTTCAGATTCTTATCTTAAAAGTTCCAGCTTTTAAGGTGTTAGGTCAGAGAACAAGAGGAAGACACTCAACAAAATAGACTGATACAGTGCCTGTAATAACAGGCTTGAGCATATCAGGGATCTTGATGGGGCAGGATAGAGCAAGGTTCAGATCTGTATGCATTGAGTTTAAAGTTGTTTAGATTTTAATTTTAATTTTACTTGGATCTTGTATACATACTCATAGAAGTTGCAGTCCAGAAGTCAAAAGACAAAACAACTCACCCCAGTAATAATAGCAAAATTTAACAGAACAAAAAACAATAAATGCTGATGAGGTTGTAGAGAAACTGGAACCCTTATTCACCGTTGGTAAAGTGTAAAATGGTGCAACCACTGTGGAAGGCTATATGATGCTTTCTTAAGAAGTTGCAAATGGAAATACCATTTGACCCAGCAATCCCACTACTAGGAATATATCTTAAATAAACCATAACTGCCACTCAAGCAGATATATGCACACCCATGTTTATCGCAGTTTTGTTAACAATAACAAAGAGCTGGAAACAACCTAAGTGTTCATCAACAAACAAATGGGTAAAGAAGCTGTGGTACATTCACGCAACTGAATACTACACTGCATCTAAAAACAAAGAACTCATGAAATATTATACAAAATGAGTGACCCTGGAGGAGACTGAAATATCTCAGTCACAAAAGGACAAATACTGCATATTGCCACTTTTGTAAAATGGAATTGAGGGGAGACTGAGAAAGATGGCATAAATTATTATACTTCATTTAAACAGATGAGAGAGAGAAAAAACTGTTTAAAAGGGATATATGATTAGGTACTATTGTCATGACAGGAATCCAGAATGAAGGCTGCATAGTGGAGTGGACTTGCGGGGAGGGATTGTAAAATAATGAAAGAATTTTTCTTTTACTTTTCAAAGAGAAGAGCAAACTGGGGGGGGGGTGGAGGGGAGAAGAAAGAAAAGTGTGACAATGAATGAATGGAAATCCAAAGTCTCTGTAAATTTTCATTAATTTAAAAAAGTCAAAAGACATATTGTATTGGGAAAATCCACTGTAAAAGACCTCTTTAAAGTGTTATTAGCAAAGATGTTATTTTAAATTCTTTTTACTTTATATTGGTTTGCATACAAAACTTGTATACATTGTGTTTAGTTTATATATGCTGGCAGACTCCATCACATTTACCACCAACATGGCTGATTAGTACTTTCTTGCTTCAGGGCCTTTGCATATGCAACTTTCAGTATCCCAGGCTCACACCTTTTCCTAGTTCAGATGTGAGCTTCCCAGATTTCTCTGTCTAAAGTGGGTACCTCTGCCTGTTATTTCATATTTTCATTGGTTTCCAGCGTCACACTTATCATGTTTTTGTTGTTGTGTGCCATCTCACAGTAAGGACTCATAGATGGGTTTTCAGAGGCAGTAAATGGCCCAGAAGGAGAATGCCCACCTATCTCCGAGGTAGCTGCTGGTGGATTTGAATCACTTGCTTTTGGTTGCTTCACAACTCCTTATCTCTAAGCCACCAGAGCTGTTAGCTTGAGTTTTGTCTCTCTTCCCCTCACCATGTAAGCTGAGGAAGTAGGGATCCCCAGCTTCTTTGGCTTACTGCCGCAGACCCAGCACAAATAAGAGTGCAGATACACAATTGTTGCTCAGCAAAGATTTCTTGGATGAATGAATGCAAATGCAACAGCATAATACTGAGTGCTTACCATGTGCCATATCAAGCATTTCTCAGAACCTGATGTGAGGCAGGTGGCATTAGTCCTATGTCCTTGGTAAGAAGGGACAGATCCAGAGGTTGAACTCAGGTTCTTGCTGAGAAAGGGTGTATTTATCTAATGAGAAGAGAAAGAACTGGCGTTAGGGTTAGAGAGGAAAATGAGGATTGCAGTTCCGGCCATTTTGAGTTCTAGGTCCTGTGAGGCTGGGAGGAGAGGCTGGGTGGAGATGCACATGCCGGAGAACATGGCACACAGGAGGATGTGTGACGCTAAGAACCAGTCCCACTCCCTGTCTACAACTAGCAGAGGCTGCCCCATCTGGCGCCAAGAAGCCTTCATGTCTGCTCAGTTTTGACACTTAGTGATACTTCCTCTATTTAGTAGCTCACAGGGTTACCCAGAGTCTATCTATCTACCCGCAGATACCACTCTGCTGGCGTTTGGGGCAAGGCTCTGATTGAGAAGTAAGGGTAAGGAGAAGCCATGAGGCTTCTCACCTAGTCATATGCTTCCCACACGCCCACTGCGTGCCTGGCCTCCCTCTCACACACCAAACCTGGAGCTCCCTCTTCCACACAGCTCCCATTACCTGCTCCATTTTTCTTACAATATGAGGCTTTTGCAGCTCTCTTTGATACTTCACCATTCATAGAGATTGGTAAAAATGTATATAAAGGGGTCAAATTCAGGGGAGCTCTGGTGGCCTAGTGGCAAGAAGCTGCACTGCAATCCCAGAGGCTCACGGTTCGAAACCACCAGATGCTTGGCCGGGGAAGGAGGAACAATCTCCTCCTGTACCGTCAGATCTGATTTGATGGTACACACACACACAAATAATAAATAAAAAAAAATTAAAAAAAGGTCAATTCGGTCCACAATGGGAAGGAATCCTTTCAGAAATAATGTTTAAGATCCTGGTGCAAGGAGTAAGTACGAATGGAGGTGGGAGATGGGGGGGGGTATGGGGGGAAGGGTTGGGAGGTGCTACACTCAGAGAAGCCACTGGGAGGGGAGGTCCTCCACGCACGGGATGACCTGGGGGCACGTGGGATGCTGCCGCGCCTAGCACCCCGCCCCGCGTCACCACGGTTTCCGGAAACTCTTTGCGACCCCGGGTACTAAACTCCTCTTGTGGTTCCGGAAGGACGCCAGTGAGAGGGCCGTGAGCGCCCTGGTCGGACCAGAGCCGCGGCTGAGAGCTGAGGCTGACCAGAAGGGCGAGGGCAAGCCGGAAGCCGGCTCCTGGCTGGTTCTAGCTCCGCAGACGCCGCCGAGGCGCCGGGCCCGGGAGGCGCGCACGCGCACCGCCGCCCGTGCCGGGACCTGCCGCTGGAGCGCACGGGGCGGAACCGTGGCACTGTGCGCCCGGGGACCGCGCCCACTGACACCGGGTTCGGCGAGCGGAGCGCGGGGAGCAGCTCGGAGCCTGCCCGGGAAGGGGACGAGCTGGGGCTCCTGCAGCTCCAGCAGGGGCGCAGGCAGCCTGTGCGCACGGAGACACAAAGGTGGGCAAGATGGAGGGGCGACTGGGAAGCTGGCAAAGAGAAAGCGAAAGGCGCGGGCCCAGCCCCTGACGCGTGGAGGCGCCGCACAGCCCCCTGGACTTTGCGGGCCTGGCCGGCTGAGCCGGGCGCGCCGCAGCCATGGCTATTGCCCACCTGGCGACGGAGTATGTATTCTCGGACTTCTTACTGAAGGATCCCACCGAGCCCAAGTTTAAGGGGCTGCGGCTGGAGCTGGCTGTGGACAAGATGGTCACCTGCATCGCCGTGGGGCTGCCCCTGCTGCTCATCTCGCTGGCCTTCGCCCAGGAGATCTCGATTGGTAAGGCGGGGGATCCGAGGGGCGGGCCGGCCAGGGCGGGCGCTGTCAGGAGGGCCCTTGTCAGCTGCAGAGAGCTTTTATTGCGCCCGTGCCCGAATCAGTGATGGGCGTGAACTTTAGAGAGAAAGGTGGCCCAGTCTTATGGTCCAAAGCTTACTTTGACCACGTGCTCCATTTGTCCCGTGTGGATGCTGTTTCAGGGCCGCTAAACGATCCGTCGTTGGGGTCCCTTCTGAGCTCTCAGCGCGCCAAACTCTGGCCTAGTGTTCTTGTTCCACCCATTTGATGAGACACACACACACACACACACACACACACACACACACAGAGGTTTGCAGAGAACAATCTCCCAGTCTTTCCCGTCATACATATTTGCACAACCCTCTAAAATTCAGTGTCAGAAAAGTTCATGAACGGCTTATGATGTGAAGAAAGAGGCCTATGAAAACTGTGTTCTCCTTCCACTATCCAGTGTTTACTGGATATTTACCGAGAAGTTAACATTGTTCAGTGATCCTTGGCAGATGTTAGAGGGATATGGAAATGGTTTGTGTGGACTGAACCGGCCACCTTAATGTAAGTGTTTACTTGATTAAGTAATAGTTCTGAGAAGTAAGATGTGTTTGAGGAGCATCTCCTGCTAATGAGTGACAGGCCTTACTCATCAGTTGTTCAGATTTTGACACCAGGCAGATGTGGTAGCGATGGATGGTATTTTGGGGAGATTGAGCAAGAGGTGTGTGAGAGTGGACTGGCCCGGGCTTTGAGTGAGAGTTGGCTGGAGGCTTCATCATTTGGCAGAACTTTGAGATGGCAGAGAAAGTTACAACCCCCTGAAATGGAAGAGACCTAGAGAGAGGCATTGCGATTCATCAGGGGTCCTGGTATCTGAGAGTAAAGATGGGCCAGCACCTGAATAGAACAGAGGCACATAGACTGGATACTTTTTCAAAAGTGGTAAGTTATTATTTGAACAAAGGATGGACTTATTGAAAACACTACTTAATGTGTTTGGAAGCAGGAGTGGCATCCGCTTCCTAAATAACATACCTCTGGAAACTCTGTGAACTTTGAAAAATGTCGATAGTGGTAGTCTTTTGTTCAAGCCTTTTGTTCACAGGGTTGCTGTGAGTCGTGCTCTGCTTGAAGGCAATCACTCAACAACAACAACTTAATGTGTAGTCGCCTGGTGATTAGGGAGCTCCGGTGCCTTAGTGGTAAGGAATTGTGCAGCTAACACAAAGGTATGTGGTTCCAATTTGCCAGCTGCTCTGCAGGACTAATATGGACAGTTTCTTTCCATAAGATTTACTGCCTTTGAAAACCCACTGGTGGGTCAGCCGTGGTTCAGTTCTGCAGCCTTGTGATGAAGGGACTCTGGTCGCCATGGTTGTGCTGCCCACCCAAAGTCAGTGCCTCTCGGTAAGTTTGAATCTACTGGCGAAATGGGCAGTCTCCTCCTGTGAGATTTAAAGCCTCTGAAAACCCACTGAAGGGTCAATTCTTTATAGCTTTGGGTTGGTTCCAACTCAGCAGTACACAATAACAATAGTGGCATCTGGGCTTGGGAAAGGAGGGGGGAAGTTTGCTAGGGAGGATGAGTGTTGTACGAGGAAGCATCTCGTGATATCTTGTGCGTGGATTAGAGTGAAGATTAGAAGGGACACAATAGGAAACAATGACGCTTGAGAGGTTGAGGAGGAAAACCAAGTAGCACCTAAATAATTACCTATTAACAGAGAATGAAGGGTCTGTGAATGGAGAAGGGTGGTGTTAATAGAAATAGTGATGTTACTCTAGGAAGAACTGGTTAGAAGAAGGTCATGATGAGGTTGGTTTGTGATCTGTACAACTAAGTTCTTTAACTGGATGGGAAGTTGTCAAATTCATTGTGAAGAAGAAGTTTGCGTTTTGTCTTTGGATGAACCTAGTCCACAGAGGTTCCTTTCACTTTCCAGATGACCAGAGGTTGCGACATAAGCAGAAAGGAAAACCACTAAGTAGCCTGAGTCCTAAAGATAATCTCTTCCTTCAACATATGCCTCGAATGCCCGCCCGGTACTAACCAGGTGCCAGTACCAGGGGACACAGGGCCATGGCTCCAGATGTCCTGGAGGAGCATGTGGTACCTCAAAGGGACAGAAAGCCAGGAGGGAGGAATTGGCCACTCTCTGTGACCAGCTCCATTTTTAAAATTAGAATCCCAAGGTACCTGCACCAGTAACATTGTTGGTAGTTCCATCTAATCGATTTCTTAGATATATCCAGCGTGATGGGTGAACTGAGAGGCTTTTATTTGAGGCTTGGAGTGGATTTCTCAGCAAGTTTGAGCTTATACTGTTTGTGAGAAGAGGGGGTTGAAAGGAGTGTGAGATGAGACCTCTCCCTGCCCTGTGGGAGTTACCATCAGCCTAACTGAGTAGACAGAGCCTACAGATGATTCTTCAGCATTAACCTCGGAACACCATTGACCTGAGGATTGGTGAGGACTTGCATAAAGAGTTGTCAAGCAGACAGTTATGCCTGAAGTGTTTCAGGATTTCTAGAGGGACATAGGGGATGATACCATTAGGAGCATGGACGACCTACTGGGTTGAATATACATGTAGATAGAAAGGGGTGACTTTAGAGAGGACTTGGTATTAGGTGTCATTGATGACAACTCTCAGCAACGCTGTGGAAAACAAATCTGACCCTTTCCTGAGCCTGTGCCATTCTCACAGTCTCTCCCACACTCAAGGCCATTGTTACAGTCACTGTGTGAGTCCATCTTGTTAAGAATCCTCCCTCTAGCCCTCCTCCACCTTCCCAGCACAATGCCCTTTTCCAAGGAGTGGCCCTTTTTTGATAATATGCCCAAAGTATATGAGTTGAAGTTTCACCATCATATAGAGTTAAGTAATAGGTGGAGTAAATGGAGTGGTTTTGTTATGTAGCATTTAGTCTTACTGTGTGCATTCAGCTAAAACTAACAAATACTGAACAAACAGGGAGGCCAACAACAGAGAGAACGAGCAGTACAATGTGAATGGAACAAACCCTTGGGCCATGTCCCGGAGGAAATTTGAGATAGTCTACAAACTAGACTTTTTGGTTTCATCTTCCCCTGGTGATAATTGCCCCCTCCATGGAGCCTGGAATATTCTCTCATTGTCGTAATCTATTGTATGTAGCATAAGGAATTGTCTAGATTCATAAGAGCTAAGAGTCAGGATCAACACAAAGCTGGGTTTTTGTGAGCAGAGGCCTTAAGAGTTCATTGCCTTCCAGCTGCCACATAATTTCTGAGGCCAACTGCTCTGTCTGCAGCCACAGGCCTCAGCCCTGCCTCCTCTACAGAGTTTGATAGTTCACGGCAATAACACCCAGAGCTCAGAGAGCTCACAGTTATTTGGCTTATTTGGGAAGTGACAGGCTATATACAACTCAGGATCATGATCAGGAAATACACCGGCAAGATCTAGAAGACTCCTCATAGCCTCCAGCACATCTTTCCTTTCTTCCGAGCAGAACAGCTCTCATAGCTGCTCTCTGCTTCCGGGCTTGTGTGATGTCCCCCTTTCTCCTACGAAGGGACCCAGCTCATAGCCAGTGTTCAGCTGCTGTGCTCCTGACAGTGGTTTAGATGTGCTATCACCACCTGTGCCCCTGGCTCCTTTCAGGCCTCTCACTGTCTTCCTTTCTGCAGCTTTTTACCCCTATTATAGCCCTTTGAGAAGACTCAGCTTGGCCTTGACTTCCTCCTGGCTTCCTCTAATTCTGTAGAACTTACCCTGTAGGCCAATTTTAAGACATAACTCTTCCTGAAGGGAGAAGACTACCCTTAATAAGATGGATTGACATAGTTACTGTAACAATGGGCTCCAGCATGTCAGAGATTGTGAGGATGGCGCGGGATAGGACAAGGTTTAGACCTGTTGTTCATAGGGTCACTCTGAGTCACAGTTGACAGCACCTAACAACAGCTTCCCAAAGGACCAGGGTTGACCAGTCCCCTCTATAGGCCAAAAGTCTGTTGGGTGGTTTTACATGCTACCCTTCTGGTTAGTAAGCTGCTTAATGCAGTTAAGGTAAATGAAGTGGACCAGTCACAGGGCATACTGTGGCCCTGGGCTAGACAAAATCAAACCATCAGTTTGTTTACAGCTTATGGGGACATGCCAGCCAGCCTGAAAATGCTCCTGAGCAAACACTGCAAACCTTCTAGGGTGGAAAACTTCTGGCAAATGGCCCTAATCCTAAATTGCTTCTCCATGGAACTAGGGGATAGGTGACTTCTCAGCACTTGGGGGGAAATACTGTGCTTTTTCTAAAGAACTGAGGCAGAAGATTCTCATGGAGGAACTCATTTCACCACACGTCCTTCACACATTGAATAGCCTGCCTGTCCGACTCCTCACCTACAGTACAAGATACTGAACGCTTCTGCACGTCCTCTCATGCGGTGTGTTCTGTAACTGTTAGGTAAAGGCACGGTGGCAGCCCCGGCAGAGGGATACCTCTCTGACCTGGGCCCTCACAGAGTGTCCTTGGAGCCTGCTGTGGGTGGTGCTGTCCTTGGCAGCGGGGTGCCCAGCATGTGTAAGACAGAGCTGGCCTCTTGGAAGCACCCTCTGACATGTGGACACATAACCCAACCTGGTACAGGACTCACTGGATTTGGGATGAGTCTGAGATGTGGACCTAAACCCGGGAATCTGGGAGATTAGATTGAGAAGTGGCTTCTCACCCAGAGGAGTAGAGTGCTCTAGGGCCCTGAGGGAGTTCTGACGGCTAACTGCTTAGTGAGTTGAACTGCTAACCCAGAGGGCAGCTACCCAGGACACAGCTCTCTGGCAGTTTGAATCCATTGGCTGTTACAAGGGAGAAAGACGGGGTCTGTTCTCCAGGCAATTTACAGCCATGCTGGTCAGCCGTGAATCAATGCTGACTTGACACCAGTGAGGGACTATGATACCAAAAAATAATGCTTGATTATTCATTGAAGTTGGTGATAAATG